GTATGCAACAACGACAGCGACCCGCGTCTGGCCAATCCCTGAAGCCGGAAAGCTCTGTCTGGTCTGCGGCCAATCACAATCCTTCAAACCGACCAATCAACTTCAGGGCTGGTGCAGACTGTTGCCCTAACTCATAACACGAGGACGCGCACTGCAAGTGCGCCCCTCGTTTGCTTGCCAACTTGCTCCAATTTATTTTTTCTCTATTCTCTACGGAAAACAATTCCTCCTCTACTGGCGCTGACGTTCTCTTCTTGATACTCGAGACCTGGCCCGAAGGTCGCATTTGTTAGGCTCTGCCCAAATGCTTAACTACCGTAACATTGGTGATCCTGATGGGTCCTCCAATGTTTCACTTTTTGAGTCCCACCGCTTTTTGCCTTCCTTTGGACTGCAGCATGAACCCGGTTTGAAAAGTGTTGTGACTCTCTACTGCCGGCATCTGCTGAAATGCTGCATGTGACCTATCCCATGAAAACCGTCGAAATTTACGAAAGATTACTAATCACAAAGCTGGCAACAAAGAGTGGACCAACTCTGTGAAATAATAATAAACGAATTTAAACGAAATTAAGACAAAAAATAATAATAGAGGAAGTATTACCTTGTTTAGAAATGCCAAGATGAAAAGCGGAGAATTCGGAAAACGATAATGCTCTTTATAATTGCTTTAACATCAGTTTTAGCCGTACTGAAAGTCTGTCCAAACAAAAAAATTTGAAACATTTTTTCCCAGGAAGAAATTTGTAACAAGCATATACGGCAGAATTTATTTGATCAAACAAACTTCGTATGAAAGAAAGCAGAAGTAGAATGTAGACAGTCTCTTAGTGAAGTATGCACTTAAACATCCTTCAAGAGTAAGTGTAATGTCAAGTAAGGTCCGTTAGTCAGCAGGCGCGGTTTAAGTATTGATTCCAACATGGTTTTACGAGAATTGGCTGTATTTTTTCCGTGTGTACATTGTTTGAGTGCGGTTGGCTAAGGTCAATGGGTGTGTAGTGATTCTGTAACCCCAGTTCCTCCTCCCGCGTCACGACACGCACAAGGTCATGTGATGGCAGCCCCGGTCGCCCGTTGGACAACCAATTACAGGTGCTGCAAACTGCGCCAGTGCTCGATCCCTCACGGTGGCCAACGTGCGCACATACCAACGCTTGCCTCACCAGGTCGGACCAATCATCTCCCTAAGGTAAACCCACACAGAGGGAGCTCTGAAGGCGCTTGTGACGACCCTGCGCTCTCACACGTCGGATGCGGGCCTCGTGGTCGGAGGTACGCCCGTCCGAGTGTAAACTCCTCCTACAGAATCTCCACTCCTTTTGTACAGAAAAAACCATTCCCCCAACTCTGGCCTCTCACTTCTTCTTTCTCTCGTCCACAAGGAACTGGGCCTGGAGATCGCAGCGACCAGGGGTATGCACTATTTATTCAACCCCTTGTGATAGATTTTCGCTTGACATCGCCGAAAGAGTAGTCAAAAGAATACAATCCGGCATCAATAAAGTTGGTCTACCACCTTAGACAGCCCCAGTTCTCCGGTTAGCTTTAGTTTTATTAGTTTATCAGTTAAGTTTTAGTTTTAGATTAGTTTAGTATTTAATTTAGTCAGATACCACCAAAATTAGATAACCATACTTGAATAACTACTACATAATAAACTAAACAAACTAAAATAAGCTTAACTTAACAAAAGCAACTAAAATAAAGATCAAACTACACTAAACCTGAAAGTAAAATAATAAACTAAACAATAAACTAAAAACCCAAGTATGCTAATTTCACCGGTCTTGTAAGACAGAATTCTGGGGCTAGGGGTATCTAAGGTGGAAACCAGCTTTATTGGTACCCTATTTTTGCAGTTGGAGTGCGATGAGTTTCAGATCGTCCTTGGAATAGGAATCAATACCGTGTCTGTTTAGGTAGAGCAAATAGTTTTCAATTGCGGGACCCTCTAGCTTAGCTTACACTCTTCTCGCCGAACACCAATCAGTGGGACATACGGTGGACATAACCGACAAGGACTCTCAAACTATCAATGTGCTCTTGTGGACAGGTGGCGAATTTGACAAGAGAAGCCTCCCCCCCTCCAAATCATAAGTCAGCGAAGACTGAAAAGGTTGGACTGTATTTACTGCGAGAAAGAGCTTCCAAGGAGCTCTACGATAAAGGTTTGGCCCTCAGTCTCCTCAGGTCAGTTGCAGTTGTGTGTGTACGGGATTACAGAAACCTTGGCCTATGGGCTTTGTTGCCTGCAGCCAATCAGGGAGTGGTGCACGCTGATTGGTTTATAGCCCTCGTGGGCCTAAGGACGACGGGAAAAAGCGTGCGGCAGCGACTCGACCAGGAGCCTGAGATGGAGAAGAGCGCGTGGGGTAGGATTTCACGCGCTAGCACGACAGGCTTGGAAGGCGAAGTACGATGAATCAGCACTGATTACGGACTGCTTGGTGACCCCGTCCCTACTTACTGCTGTAATAGGTCGAACTTAACGAAAAATCATCAAGTAGTAGTAAGCCAGTTCCACTGCACCCGCCAAAATATCAAACTAATAATCAATGACCTATAGTTAAATTAAAGTACAAGTGGTACTTTCGGTTAGGAATAAAAATGATGTAAAAAATGCGGACAGGCCGTAAATGATAAAATTCGTGTCAAGTGAGTAAATTCTACTTTGAGAATGACACTAACTTTTTCTACAGGCATAACTGAGCAAATAAAACTTCCTTATGGATAAGGAAGAAGACGTGTCGAGCAGCGGATCAATTGATTTATTGTCTTGAGCCTTTGGACTCTTGCAGGAGTCCATCTTCAGAGGTGAGAAGTAGCAACAAAACGAGGGTAATTATAGTGGCCATAGGCCAATCAACTGTCAGAAATAATCAGGATTTCAGGGCGTTGATAGCTGTTTCTAACACCCTGAAAACCTGATTATTTCTGACAGTC